AGAAGTGAGTCATGTGAATTCCACAATGAATCTCCAACTGCAGGATACCTACCAACCGCCCCACGCAATCAGATGTGGCACAAGGCCGTGAGCTCAGCCAAAAAATCCCTGTTGAGCCCGTATAAAACGGGATTGGGTAGCTGTGTCCCGAGACGAGACTCTGCCCTTCGACATAGCCTCGTCTGGGGATCCTCTCCGCCCGGAGGCAGAGAGTTTCACCAGCACAACAGGAGACGAATCTCCTGCTGCAGGATATCTATCGACCGCCCCACGCAGTCAAATGTGGCATAAGACCGAATTTTAATGTGGGGTATCCGAGTCCGTAGGCTCGGCCAAAAATTCCCCGTAGAGCCCGTATAAAACGGGGTCGGGTAGCTATTTCCCGACACGAGACTCTGCCCTTCGACATAGCCTTGTCTGGGGATCCTCTCTGCTCGGTGGCAGAGAGTTTCACTAGCGCAGCTGGAGACGAATCCCCAGCTGCAGACCAACATACAGTATTTACTATTGTATTTATGTGAATGGGGACATACCCATCATCGTCCGTAGGTATGCTACAACAGGTATTCATTGAAAAACAGAAATAAAATTATTTCGGATTTTTAAAAAAATACTTTTGTTAGTTCAACCAGAAATCTGTTCGTCTGAGCCAAGCTATCAGAAGTGTTTTAACCCGATCGGATAGAATTTTGGGATCCTGTAATCACGTCACTCAGTTGCATAATTTTATTCCTTTTTATAACATTCTCATGAGCACCAGTAAAATATATTGAACTGAACATAAATATGAAATTAAAACAAAACTATAAAATATAATAGAATTAAAACAATCCGAGATATATTTTATTGTTGGTGCTTCATGCCACGATTTTGAGTGCAACTCAAAACAGGGACGAACGATGCGTTAATTTTTGTTGATTTGAAACATGGTTTGATTACTGGGGTCATCCCGACTAGCCCGACCATCAGTGTCGCTAGACACCCGATTGCCTAAATTCGGGATAGAAACCTAACTGATTTGGCATCAGGTGGAGATTCCCCCCACCCTAAGCTATCGGCTCTCGGCAGGTGAATTTTTACGTATTTATTTTTTGAATAAACACGCCAGTGACTCAGAGTGATTCATAGTAGAGCTTTGAATTATGAGCAGTAGCAGTTACTGTTTACAAATTCGCGCTTTCTCTCTAAAGTGCTCGACCGAAATTTATTTTTTCGGGGACGTATATATATTGTCATCTACACACGGATAGTTTCGCTGTATCACATCTCATCAGCGTGATTAGACATCCGATTGCCTCAAGCCAGAATCGAAACCCGACAAATTTGGCATCAGACGGAGATTTTTTTCTAAGCTATCGGCTCTCGGCAGAGATGAAGGTGATATATATATATATATATATATATATATATATATATATATATATATATATATATATTATTAAATATAACAGGCAATGAATGTCTATTATGTTTGATCATGTTTCATATGGTTGTTTTAATTTCAGCAACTATACAAAGTTTAGAACAGCTGGTGGTTAAACATAGTAGACATTCAATGTCTGTTATATTTAACAATATATATGTTTAAATAATGATCTGCTTCCACAACACACTATATATATATATATATGTCTAAACGACCCATATATATATATATATGTGTGTAAACTAACCATATATTTGTTTTAATTAAAAACAAATATATGACTAGTTTAAACATAAAATCTGTATGCATAAACGCCTATATATATATATATATATATATATATATATATATATATATATATATATATATATATATATATATATATATATATATTACTTTGTATTTGTGCAGTAACTTTTCTTTCAAGCATCTTTAATTGAAAACGGCTGACAAGGAAGATTTAATTAATCTTTTATTAAGTTTTTCCAGCATTCTAACATTGTTTCTTGTTTTTCAGGGGTTAAAGAATATAGAAATTGTCTATAGTAATAATTGTTCCGAGCGCTTTCGGCTAGTTCTATAGCCATCATTAATGATGTTGTTTTTGAATGTTGAATTTCTGTGTTCTCTTCAACATCGTAGTTTAGCTGTGTAGATGTGCAAGGGGTAGGGTGTATACTTTTATGGCTGTCACGTGCTATTCGCAGACGGTTGACCTGGACATCACTTCTATCTTTAGAAAACCTGTAAGACTGATAGCGGGAGAATGGTATTTAATCAGCAATGCTTCTCTAATGATGAGTTGTCTACGACTATGTGATTTGAAAAGAATTTTTGTTTTATCAACTTGAATTTTCCTTAAAGGTTCTTGTAAATCATGAGTTAATAAATGTTAATTAATCACACTCTGCGTCGAAAGGTGGCCTGTAAGATGTCTTCTTAAGGAGGTAGTGGTGTGTTCGATATAGGCAATTAATTTTTGACAAGTAACACAGTCTTGTAACTGGCAATGAAATTGGTACACTCTATTGGTCACCGCTAGTTTAGAGTTCGTGGGGTTATTTCGGTTGGTGACAACAAGTTTTGCAGTATTCCATTTTCTATTATATGTTATGAAGTTTATATGTTTTTCAAGTGTTACAGCAGAAATTTGGCGTTTAATGATTTTCTTTATAGCAAATTCATCCTGCTCATAATTATTGCGTATTTGGTTGCAATAAAATATGTTGATGTTTCTGTTGCAGTTTCTTTATAGCTACGTAACGCTATTTTAAACTCAGTGAAAGTTAATTGTTTATCTTTTTGAGTTATAACTGTCGTGAATGGTTTGAATGACGGTGGCAAACCCTTTAAGACCATGGCTATTAGCAGCCCATCCGAGATAGTCTCACCTGCAATTTTTAAGGCATTTGTGACATTCTCAGCTCGTATAATATAATCTGTTACAGATTCATTTTCCCATCTCTTTAACGCGGTTAGTTCAGTATATAAAGCAATAATTTTAGGCTTACCTTTTGACAAGTAGTGTTCACGCAAAATTTGTAGGGCTCGCCGTCCATTGTCCTTGGCCTCTCTCATTATTAAAGACAAACTCCGGTCATCCAGGAATTGTATCAATTCAGCGAACCCGATTGCATTTTTTTCCATAAAATCATCATCCCCCTTCTGGTCGTCTTCGCAAAGGATGATGTCATGGAGGTTTTGTATTCTGAGGTAGCCTAAGAACTTCGTCTCCCACAATTCATATGTCGATTCATTCCCGTCAAAATATAGTCGTGGTCTGCGCTCATAACCAATGTTGTTCATGATGACGGTCGCCTTCGAGTATAGAATCCAGAGGTTAGCAGTGAATATTGTGAAGACAGTAGGAAAGGCTGTTGTTCAGGTTAGCAGTGGATGTTTTGGTAAAAAGTAGCAGAGCGTAGTTCGTCCTTCTGTTTCTCTTCGCCTGACAAGCTGGATTGGACATTCGGGTAGAGTAGACAAAATGGCCGCCTTTATACACGACGAATTGAATGTTCTACGTCTTCTGATTGGTTAACCATCTATTGGTGGACTACAAAGTGAGTCAAGTCATTTAGGCTAGCTCACTAGTTACATAACATACACAAAAACTGCAACAGTTTCGTGATGTTGTATTTTTGTTACTGGCGTCGTCTAGTTTTTGTAAGAATAATTTGATTTGCTTATCAATAATGTAGTTGGAAAATGATTGTTGACGTGTTTGTTTTATGTGTTTTAGTTCGCTTAGAAATATTTTTAGGGAATACGAATTTTGTGGTTCTCTATTTATGAAATTTGTTATCACTGCTTTTTCATATCTTTCATGGCATTGGCTGTCACAGTTCAGAAGACAAGAGTTCGTGCTCGTGTGTCTTTTATACGCGTAAGTGGTAAATTCGTTGGCTTTTAGCTCTATCTCAACGTCGAGGAATGGAATGCTATTATTTACCATGGGTTCATATGTGAATTTTAGTGTTGAGTTTTTTCAAAAGTTGATTGTAGGTTTGCGATTTCACTTTTATTTTTTACCAAAACGAATGTGTCATCCATGTACCTTGTGGAGATTTCAGATTTATCGGGGGTTTTTTTAATACTTTGTTTTCAGCGAAAACATGACCTAAAGGATTTCCCATGCTAACACCATTAGTTTAGATATATACAGGGTGTCCATAAAGTTCGTGTGCGCTTTAAAAATTTATAACTTTATTTGTATTTGCGATAGAAATAATTTGTAAGGGTTTTCGATAGTTGGTGTAGGTATTTGGAATATGGTTTTTGCATTACCATCCCGTTTGGTGATCGGCAACTATTTTCTTGATTTTTAAGGTATCAACATCAGCCTTGTTCGCTGTGATTAGTTTATTTACATATTTATTTATTTTTTTTTTAGTGTTTTTGAGGGGTTTTTCGTTAATTTGATGAATTATATATTTTTATATATTTTTCCTTAATTTGGTGAATTATATATATATATATGTGTGTGTGTAGACATTGAAGTCGACACTCTGTTTCATGATCAAAAGCAATTATCAGTCTGGATTGAAACAGACTGTCGCTGCTGGGTGATCAATGTCCATTTTTATATTTACAAACACTCTATCCCCGATATAGAGTACTTTAACCCATAAATATAATATACCTTAAAACTATATTTTATTATAGTAATGGATAGCGGCTTGGATTGAGGAATTGCAGAGCCGAGTTCGAATTCCAGTCGAATCCATTACATTCACTTACGTGCTAATACCCTTGGGAAAGGGATGAATCTTCTTCCTCTCCCTCCAGCTATGGGTAAAATAGCAGGACAGACTGGCTTCTATAGCCTGGGCTAGGAGAGGAACAACTCTGAATTCAAAACCTGCGGAGGGTCGTTTGGGAATCTTGTGGCACCCGGCACTCTGTATTCGTCCTGCACGAAGCCTTCACCACTATAATCAAATCTCATGTGCAGGTGTCGGGCTGTCGGTTTCCTATAAACTGATCTGCTTGATCCTCATACGGGAGAGTCGACTATATATATATATATATATATATATATATATATATATATATATGGTGCCATTTAACATACACATAGATAGATAGATAGATAGATAGATAGATAGATAGATAGATAGATAGATAGATAGAGTTAATACAAATATAAAATTTGCCACTTTTGTGATTGATGCTTTATTCAGCACCTCTACTGCCGAGTTACGCAGATGAAACCTTGTGTAATTGTTCGGTCCAATCGTCAGGAGATATCAGCAAATGTCTGCCAACTTTCTCGTTTCTGTTATTTTTGTATCAAGTTAGAAAAATAAATTATGCGCTTTTTTATCGATTCTATGTTGATTTTTTTTTTATCATTGACGAGTTCATTGCTCGGGTTAGTCGGGGTGCTCCCGAGAAATCAAACTGTCAAGTGTATCTCTTTCAAAGCATGCCGTACTTTTTGACAGCAGGGTTAATTGTTAATAATAAGAATCCACACACACACACACACACACACCAGGACACAAACACAAACATACATACATAGACACCAGGACACAAACACAAACATACATACATACACACACACATCCAAATACATATATACGTGCGTGTGTGTATTCCATCGAATGTAAAAATGTAAGAGCTCTGGAAAAACTAAATAAGAAATTAATCAAATCTTCCTTGTCTATCATATTTAACGAAATATATTTAAAAGAATGGTTGCTGTCCATATATATATATATATATATATATATATATATATATATATATATATTCAGTTTATGGATATTGGTTTGTAAGCCTAGGTTTCACGCTTTTGATCATCAGACAAATGTCTGATGATCGCAAAAGCGTGAAACACAGGGCGCAAATTAATATCCATAAAACTGAATATTAGCTCTATCATAGATATTGAGCATTTTCCACTAAGTACCGCGGCATATATATATATATATATATATATATATATGTGTGTGTGTGTGTGTGTGTGTGTGTGTGTGTGTATACAAATATAATAATTATTAACAATTATAATAAAAACATGTTATAAATCGCTACATAAATGCAATCATGTTTTTTCGACAATGTATGCGCTTCTTCAGGTGGTGGTGCTCAACTGGAGAATAGACCATTATTTTATGGTTTAAAAGTAGCAATACCCCCAACGAGGAAAGGGGGAAAATAAAAAGGCCTAAATTTCTAACGAGCTAGATTAATTGGTTAATAAAGTTTCCCCGCCCCCAGCATGTTAGAAATTTAGGGCTTTTTTTTCTATCGCACTCTTTTGCATAATTTATTGTCAGCAACGACACTTTATTCCTATATAACCGTTTTTAAATTAAGCGGCAGCAAAAAAATTATCGTTGAACTTTTAAAAGGTGAGTTTAAATATTAATGAAATACTAAAACGCAGCGATAAATTTGGAATTCTTCGGAGAATATGCAAAGACTTAGAGCCTCAAAATCCTGAACAAGGTCTAATCAAGAGCCCTCTGCAAGAGGTAGCTTAAATGCTAGGGTGGCTTTTAAGCTAATCTGTCATATGTGTTTATTTCTTTTGAGCCAGTTTGATATATTTACTTATAATTTGAAGATAATCGAAATTAATTGCAAAATCCAATGAAAATAAAAATAAGTGTTGTACGGAAAATAAGGACCAACGCAAAACAAATTGTCTTTAAATTACCTGGCGACAAAAGAATTATCGTTGAAATTTTAAAAGGTAGCGCTTAAATATTAATGCAATACTTAAAATGCAGCGAACAATTTTGAGTTGTTCTGTAGTTTATTATTGCCTATTGCATCCAGTAGCAATATGCCTCGCAAAAAGAAATCTCCGCCAACAGAGGACCAGATTGCAATCAAAAGAGCCAAGGCTGCAGCGATGAAAAGAAAGTTTCGTGCAAATGAAAACCCAGATCAAACGGCGGCAAGAAAAGCTTCCAATGCTGAGAATATGCAAAGATTTGCCCAATTAAGAGCCCTACGCAGGAGTTAGCTTAAATGCTGCCAGATAGGGCGGCTTTTATGCTAGAAACTAATATAAAAATTAAGAGCTACAAAAAAGAATGTAAAAGAAATATTTTTACGTAGATTTTCTAAAAAAAAATATTTTTAAATATTTTAATTCAGTTATGAATAAGTCCTGAAAGTTTTATTATTTTGTAAGAATTTCCAAATCAATGCGTTTTTTTTCATAGCAAAAACAAGCTCAAAAGTTCCATATTAATTAATGATCACCAGTTAACGTAAGAAAAACAACATTTTTAATCAAAATTTCGAAGGTCCTAAACAGGGTTAAAAATAGAATTTAATAATCCCAAAACTTTAGTCTTTCCTCTTAATAATAACATGAAGATTTTGAGAATAAAACATTGTTTTTATTCAATTTTTATTTCATCATGTATGCTCGTTTTTAGCGAAACTTTGGTATTTCTTTTTTCTGTTAATATTTAATATATTTCTTTAACTCAGTTCCTCTCTTGTATCTTTTTTCTAGCCCTAACAAGGTTAAGCCATATATATATATATATATATATATATATATATATATATATATATATATATATATATATATATATATATATATATATATATATATATATATATATATATATATATAGATAGATAAATAGATAGATAGATAATATTAGTGGAAAATATACATACATATGCAAAATATATATAAAAAATTCCCATACATGTATATTTTCAGAAAAAAATTTTCCAAGAGGAAGGATCCAGGTAGAACTCAATGTCCAGGACAGAGTAAGGATATAATAAAAAGGCTTAAACACTAATATTCCATGGTCATAATTTATTCCATTGGAATCGTAAATACGATCCAAAATCATCAGACCTACAAATTCAAAATGAAAAGAGAAAAACAACTCCGGAAATCAAAACAGAATTTAGAGAAAGTGTAAGTATGAGGAGGAGGGACATGAAACCTTAACAGAGAGAATTTTAGGAGATGTGGGGGGTTAAAAGAGAGGAGAGAAAAAAGTCGACGGATGTCTAATGCATAAAGATACATTTTCGTGGTGACATATACACACCATAGACAATTAGGATAGGAGGGGGGAAAGGAAGAGAAGAGGTGGGGGAGAGATGGGACGAAGGAAAATAAAATTGTGTTTACTTAAAGGGCCCATTGTAATTGAGAAAATTTGACAAGTAAACACAATTTTACTTTTTCCTTCGTCCCATCTCCCACCCCTCTTCTCTCCTTTTTTTTTTTTTTTCCTCCTATCCTATAAATTATGACCATGGAATATTAGTGTTTAAGCCTTTTTATTATATATATATATATATATATATATATATATATATATATATTAAACACACAGGGAGATCTACCAATCTCTGTTCGTAATATACTTGTGCAAAATATGACCATAATAAACTCATTCACATGCAAAAAACTTAAAAAATAATGGAAGCATTAATAATAAAAGGAACCCAACTCTTAATATATCAACTATGAATACTGCCGCAATGCGCTGACCGTGTTCGGAAATTTTTAAAAAATCCTATCCATATATATATATATATATATATATATATACTTGGTGTAACAGCAAAATTGTCCAATTGTTAGATTATGCTTTGAACTGTTATATCTTAGAAATGATTAAAGATATCTTACTGGAATTCTCCGAGGTTTTTATAACACTATTGGACCCAACTTTGAGAAATAAGAATGTATAATTACTCTCTAAGCTTAACAAAAATATCGTGATGAAATCGATCATAAACGAAAATGATATGATCATCATTAATTAATCATAGCTAAGGATCGGAAGCTCATGAAGGGTTAAAATAAAGTTATTTATAAAATATATATATTATTCCACGATCATTTTTCAACTTATTCAAGATGATCTCCACCCTCTCTAACCTTCTAATTTTCTGTCCTGGATAACAAGGTGCCTCACACATTTCATGTACAATTTCATTTTCAAGTCATTTTTCACTGCTCTTTGAACTGTCATAGCTGAAACTCCTCTCTCACATGCCAAACGTCTTATGGATTGAGTTAGATCTTTTCTATAATATCTCTTTAGTTCTAAGTTGGAATGATGATCCCTATTTCTGTTGTGACCTCCTGGTCTAATTTCCCTCTCTAGTGTTCCCTCTTTTTTAACCTTATTCACCGTTCTCTTGATGGTTCTTGAATAGACTTTAAAGATGGAAGCCAGCGTATGAATGCTTGGTACCATTACTGAAGGCCTGAATTATTTTTCCTCTCATTATTCTTACGACAAATAGTCAAGATGCTAAACGAAAATGCTGAAAACCCAGAAAAAAAGAAACTCATTTAATTTATCCTTTTTTTATATAATAAATACTTTGTGGGATGAACGTATATGTGTATACGTATGGATGTGTAAATATATATATATGTGCGTATGAATATATATGGATATGCACATATACACATGCATACACACACCCATATCTGCATAACTTTGCGTATACTTGATGAAGTCCGTAAAAAACGTGTGAATTTCTTTTCATTTTTCATTTCATCTTTTGGAAGTAAAGTCTGATGATCCAAAACCCTGTTAAAGGGGTTATGGTGAAATAGCTTATTACATGGAATCTTAACGTGGTCTGTCTTTTATTCAAACATATCTGCTCTGAATTTTAAATTGAGCTCTCTTGATATCATCCTCCTCGGGTCTACCCATTTTACCTAAATTTGCACTAAATATATATATATATATATATATATATATATATATATATATATATATATATATAATACTAATAGTATTGGAAAAAATATCGGATAGCACAACTTGTAAGTCTATCAAAACAAATTTGGGCACCTCGAGGCGGTGTAATGTTTAACAAGCTTGTCTAGCTAGAACAATTACGACTAAGTAATGAGTTCGTTCCTCACTGACTGCCCCATCCTTTCGGCCTCATACCACATCTAAACCACGTTTGGAAAATCATTATCAATATATATATATATATATATATATATATATATATATATATATATATATTATAGTAATATTCGGTGGAAAAACCTCGGATAGTACAACTTCATAACTTTTAAGCCTATCAAAACAAATTTGTACCCGAGGAAAAATTGGAAAAAAAAAAGAAAGAACTAGAAACATCCGAACAGGGAGAAATAAATCGTCCAGTGGCTTAAGATTTTAGTCCAAAGAAAAAGCCCCAAGCGAATAATAAAGCTAAAACGTGTAGTGCTCAATACGATAAGTAGAGCTGGGATAAATTAAGTAAATCCTGCTTACCCTGGAGATAATTTTAGGTGAAACCTAGGTAGATTGTTCCTGGCTCTTTAGAATTTACTTAATTGATATATATATATATATATATATATATATATATATATATATATATATATATGTGTGTGTGTGTGTGTGTGTGTGTGTGTGTGTGTGTGTGTGTGTGTAAATATATGGATATAGATCCGACAGTATGAAGAAAAATATACAGAAAAAACAAACAAAAATCTTAATATGCAATTATGCTGTATTAATGTTAATATAAAGTCAACGTCGGACGTTTCGGTCTATTTTAGACCATCATCAGGACATTTTGATTAAACATAATTAACATTAGAACATAAAATTCAACATGAAAAGACGATGGACATAAGAGCACAACTAATCCAAACAGATAACTGAAATTTTTATATAAGATCAGCGTTCCGTTTAAATATGATCACGTCGTCGTCACGTGGGCGATGTTGTGAAAACGTATTCGAAGATGATTTCAAAATATTAAAATATTAAAAAAAGTCGATTGAACTATTTTATATAAACAGTTCAAGAAATCCCTTCCGTTGATATAGGAATACGCAGAGATCAATAGGTTCTTATATCTTCATACAAGCTTGAAGTCCTCCAAGTTACAAAGCAAATCAAAAATGATTTCAAAATATCAGAAAGGCACGACGTTCCATCGTGCCTGTCTGATATTTTGATATATATATATTCTAGCGATCGGATATATTGAATATTTGGAACATACTTCATTAACAGAAAAGAAAATACAGGTGCAGCAGACATACCCCCCACATATGACTCCCAGAAATAACACCCACGTAATAATAAGACATTAGCTACAGGCTGAGGCAGCAATGCCTCTCACATTTTAAGTAAGACGTTAGCTAGACGAAAGCACTATTGCCACTTGTCTGTGTCTACTCGCATCACACAGGTGACAGTTTGAAATGTGGAAGGTATTTCTGCCGCAACCTGTAGCTAATCTCTTAACATTGTATGGGAGTTTGTTTTTTTTCTGGGTGGGGGGTATGTGTGGGAGGCATTTCTGCTGCACCACGCACTTGCACGAATGCACAAAACGAAATTAATAAAAAGGTTAATCGCAGTGCCTTTTCTGTCCGATTCTATGAAACATTTCTAAAAGGGGGAATTACTGCTCAAACACACACACACACACACACACACAGACACACAAACGTGCACACATACAGGCGGACACGCGCGTGCGCTTGCGCGCACACACACACACACACACACAGACGTACACAGATACAGACACACAGAAATACAAAAACGCGCGGGGACACACACACACACATACATACATATATATATATATATATATATATATATATATACTCGACTCTCCCGTCGAATTCGACGTATGACGGTCGAGCAGATCAGCCCGACATCAGCACATATGATTTGATTATAGTGGTGAAGGTTTTGTGCAGAACCAGTCATACTTTTGTGTGTATATATATATATATATATATATGTGTGTGTGTGTGTATATATATATTAAAGAAATTTTTATGTTTAACGTTCTTTTTATAGATACAAGTATTTAAGTAAATGCTCTGTTTATAATAAACAGTATTAAATAACATTTACCGGCCTGAATGTCCGAGAAATTTTCATAGAAAATATTCGTCCTTTGACAGGATTCGAACCTGCATCCTATACGGATCCGTCATTTACGCTGATGTGACTTGTATCTATAAAAAGAACGTTAAACATAAAAATGTCTTTAATAAATAATTTGTCGGACTTGTCCATTTCTTAATTAATATATATATATATATATATATATAAAATATGCATATTATCCCTCACTGGAGTTTCATGCAGTCTCTACCCAGCACCTGAAGATTGCGTTGTACATGATACTCCGAGTCAACCAGCTAAGGATAATGTGGATATGAGTCAAATAATTAGATATTGCCAACTGTACAGGGTGACCCAAAAATACGGGAACTTTTTAACAATCCAATAAAACCAAGAGTGATGGAAGAAAAATATTTTATTCATAGTAATTGAAACATTAAAACATGCCATTTAAGAAACAATGATGGAATTTTCCTTTTTTAAAAATTACGTCCTGTAGATAGCGTCCTCCTGTAAGAATGCATTCTTGAAATATGCTTGAAATCATCCTCATTGACTGCTGCAACATCTCAGCTGGGATACTGTGAATTTCATCTTGAATTCTAAATGGCGAAATGTTTACTTGCTCAAGATCACTGTCTCGCAGTGTTGCCACTTGATCATGTCTGGTAATACGCACTTCAAAAATTCCCGTTTTTTGGTGTCACCCTGTATATACGTGAGTTAGTGAGCAAACACAGATATGCGAATAAATATTTACTTAATTTAATATAGGTGTAAACAAAACAGTGTTCTATGTGGTTAGACAAGGCTAAGAAATAACGTAGGTATATGCATATTTATTAATATATATATATATATATATATATATATATATATATATATATATAATAGCTCTGTTTTATTGCACCAATCACTATTTTATTAATACCAGCACGATATCACGATGTGCGATATCATATATATATATATATATATATATATATATATATATATATATATATATATATATACGTTTTACCAGCTTGAATGGAAGGATAATTCCGAGTAGCATATAAATCCATGGAGAGCTCAATGTAGATTACAGAGTATTATAATGATAATAAAAGACGGAGACTTTAATTATCCATTTCGTTTTTTATTTATTTCTTGAACACCGAGGTGTTCAACTCTTCAGACCGAAATCTCCTCCGTAAATTATGAAAATACACCGGATGGACACATTAGACTCGTAGTGGGGAGAGAAGGTGAAAGAGAAGGGATGGGTAAAGAGAGGGTAAAAGGATTAGTGGTTAGTAGTAGTCGATTCACCCATATATATATATATATATA